CAGCGACTGTGCAGAATGAGTGCTTGGGGGCGGTGCCTGAAAGAAGCATTAGAAATGCAACCACACCGTTGAGGGACGGGCTGGCCAGGGAGCAGAGCCCACGTCCGCCACCCTGGACGCCCACGTGAGCGCCAGTGTGCACACGAGTGTGGGTGGGTGCGGGCCCACCCGTGTTCCTCGGATGAGCTTCCTCTGGAAGATTTCACTCACTGCAGGCCGGGCAGCTCCCTCTTTGCAATGCAAATCTATCCCAGAGCCCCATGGGCCACTCGCTTACCTCCAAAGGCAGAGAGGTCATTCCCTTTCAGAGCTGTGTTTCTGTAGAAACTGACCCCATGGAGCCTGACAGTCCTTTGGTTTTTGATGATAATGTGTATTCAGCACCTGACACTTAAACAATGTGCCTGAATTATGGGCTGAATTGTGCACCCCCTCCCCAATTCATGTTGAAGTCCTAATTTCCAGTACCTCAGACTGTGACTGTTCTTGGAGATAGAATCTTTAAAGAGGCGATTAGTTGCCCTGGCCGGTTTGGCTCAGCGGTTAGAGCATCGGCCTGCGGTCCTGAGAGACCCGGGTTCGGTTCCCGCTAAGGGCATGTACCTCGGTTGCAGTTTGTCCCCGGCCATGGATGGATCATGCGAGTAGTGACCACTCGATGTGTCCCTTTCACGTCGATGTTTCTCTCTCCCTCTCTCCCACTCTATCTGAACAAGAAATTAGTTTAAAATGAGGCCACAAGAGAGGGCCCTGATCTGATATGACCAGCATCCTTATGAGGGGAGATTAGGACACAGACAGGGGGAAGGTCATGTGAAGATGGGGCAGACAGCTGTCCACAGGGGGAGAGGTCTCAGAAGAACCCCAACCTGCAGAGACTTTGACTTCCAGCCTGCAGGATAGAAGGTCTGTTGTTTAAGCCATGGTGTCTGTGGTATTTTGTTTAGGCAGTTCGAGAGCAAGCTAATATGATACTCAATAAGTGTTTACTGAAGTTGTTTGTTTTCTTTTTTTCTTGGAGACTGAATGAAAATGACTTCTCTTGTTTTCATGTAGAAATTCTAATCCATAGACCTTGTGGGTTACAGACAAGCAAAGCCAGATGTCTGTGGGTTATTCTCCGCTACTAAAATTGCTCCTGAATTCTTTTTAGTATAATTTTGTTTGTGGAAAAATTAACATTATATTTGAGATACAGTGTCAGTTGAGGCCACAACCTAGAATTGGTTCAGTACTCCTCCCCCCACCTCAATTCATTTCATGTGGCAGCCACGTGGGTTGTGCTGGAGACCGTTAGTACAGTGGTTTGGACTTCGAGTTAGGTTTTATGAAAGCAGTGCTCCCAAATGTGGAAAGCAGATGTTTCTCTTCTGGCATGTCCTGCAGAGTTCTCTGGCAAAGGAATGCCTTCTTGTGAAAAGGATGCTCGAGAAACGTTACGTATTTGGTAATGATGACGGAAGAAAGGTAACCGCGCAGCTCCTTGTTCTTCCTAGAAGAACTTAGCTGTTATGTCTTGTGAGGGCAACTGATAATGCAAAGAGCTGGTTTCTTGAACAAATGTGCTGTTATGTGTTGTGAGGACAACTGATAATGCGAAGAGCTGGTTTCTTGAACAAATGTGCCTCCTTGTCTAGTATCTTGGCTTTTCATGAGGCAAGAATATATTTTCCTTGGGAACAGCTGACAAGAACACTGTGTAGTGACTCTTAGAGATTCATCATCCTAACGTCAAAAAGACTTTTTAAAAATTACCGAAAGGCATGCTTTAGTCAGTTTGGGCTGCTGTGACAGAAATACCACACACTGGGTGGCTTAGACAGCAAATGTCTGTTCCTCAGACTGGAAGCTGGAAGCTCAGGTCGGAATGCCAGCACGGTTGGGTTCTGGATGAGGATTCTACTCCTGGTTTGCGGACAGCCTTGCTGTGCCCTCACCTGGTGGAGAAAGAACATCTCTCTCCTCCTCTTATAAGAGCATGAATCCCATCAGAAGGGCCTCTCCTCCCCTCCCCCCATGACCTAATCACCTCCCAAAGGCCCCCCGCCTTCAAATGCCATCACATTAGGGATTCTGTTTCAACATAAGAAGTGAGGGGGAAGGGGCTCAAACATTCAGTTCACAGTAAGGCAGGTGCCGGCCGAAAAGCTAATTTTTTTGTTCGTTTGCAATGCTTATGAGAGCTCTGCTGTACATCTGAGATCCCACAGTTTTCATATTAAAAATTGCCATTCAGATGGATATATGAATAACTTGTTATATTCTCTCTGGTCTGGTGTTAAAATGCCCTCAAATAGATTTAAGGTATTCCTCATTAAGAACATGGTGTTCATACTTGAATTCACTTGGCTCTCCCAGTAATAAACCTTATTCAAACATCTACTTTGCATTCTCTGATGTGGAAGAACCACACCCCATTTCTATTGCCTTTTTTTGGTCACGTCTTTGAATAAGCTTGGTTGCAGCCATGGCTTCTGGTCAGACTGGGAGCCGGTCGGCCCTGAGAGCGGTCTCCCTGACAGCAATGCTCTTCAGGCTGCTGTGTTGTAAATCCTCCTAAAAGACTCACTCTCGCCTGCCTGCACAAATGATGCGGCATTGACAACCGAGAATTATTTACCTTTCAAAAAAGAAATAACGCTTCCTCCCACTGTCCAAAGGCTTGTGTGACGAGGGTCGATTTTACAATTGACGTTGTCCTCAGGGGTTGCAGGTGGGAAGAAGGCTGTTAGGGTCTGGATTACTATTGTTAGAGGAAAGAAGAGGATACAGGAGGCAGCCACATCTGCTGCTGGTTTTATCTCCTCTGGAGATTTACTTGTTCAGAACTTCAAGTCACTGGGCATCTTGTGTCATTAAGGGGAAGAGTTATTGATTTATGATGGGAGAAGGTGCGAAGGCATTGCAGCTGGGTGCTCACTAGGAGAGAACACTTCACTAAGGCACATCTAGTGCGTGATTCTGGTTTTCCGATTTTTGCCTCTGGCCATGCCTGTTTCGATTCTTGGAGACTCGACCAGGAACCCATTCCTTTACCAGAGAGCTCGCGCCCTCTAGTGGTGACAATGAAGTACAACAGTACACAGACAGTGCTTTGGTAAACCATGAAGCGATGACTGAAACTGTTAGCACTTTTTGCTTAAATTATGAAAGTGATCTGTTGCAAGTATTTACACACTAATCCTTCAGGTTAATTCCAGTGGGTATGAAGTCTCCTTGCTCAAGAAGCATACATTTGCACCTGGAAAATTTCCCTCAATCATAGCATGTTCCAGGGGTTCTCAAATTTGTATGTGCTAAGGAATCACCAGACACACCAGATTAAAACTCAGGTTCTTAGCCTCAGCTCCAAAGATCCTAGGTCAGCAGGCTTTGGACATAGCCCAGGAATTTGCCCATTTAAAACGAGCCCTTGATGAGGTTGACCTGTGTGGCTTGTTCCCTGAGGAAGGCCATTCTCGTGGCTGAGTATGGGTTGGGCAGCAAACTCAAGTAGGACATTGCGTGTATTCCTTAACCACTCAGAGCCTCAGCTGCACCACCTGTAGAAAGGCAGTAAGAACGCCCGCTCCATTGGGCTGCTGTAGGATAGAGTGAGATCCTAATATAAAGGGCCTGGTACAGGATCTGGTCATGACAGGAAGCCAACACATGCCAGCTCTTATTATTTGAGGAACGAACCCTAGTTTGCTCAAACTACAGGGCCAGAGAAGACCAGGGGAAGCTTGGATTGTCTAGACCAAATAGGCATTAAATCTTAGGCCCCGAGATCTCTACAGTGAGATGCTGCCATGGACAGAGACCCCGCACTCCCAGGATGTAAACCACCTGGGTAGAAAAGAGCTTTGCTATGAAGACCCTTCAGGGCAGGGAAGGTGTTTTTATACATCTTTGTACCTCCCAGGTCAGATGGGTAAAAGAGAAGTTGAAGTCGGCAGCTCTGTTCTTTCATCTGTAAAATGGGCATGATAATGATATTTCCACGGCAGAGTTCTGAAGAACAAAGGAGTGAAGTGATGTGTAAATCCCTTAGGATGACGACTTCCAGCGATCCTTGGAAAGTATTGTCATCTGTCCCATCCCTTCTAATGCAAATATATCCTTAGTATCCTTTTCAGAGACAGACATTGATCAGGAGAAGGGAAACAGATGGTCCATATGTAAAATGAGATTTTAGAACAGTGTTTCTTTTTTTAAAAAATATGTTTTTATTGATTTTTTAGAGAGCAGGGAAGGGAGAGAGAGAAACATCGATGTAAGAGGGAAACATCTATCCACTGCCTCTGGCACACCCCCCACCGGGAATCAAGCCTGAAACCTGGGTGTGTACCTGACTGGGAATCGAACCCGGACCTCTCAGTCCATGGGACAATGCTCTTTCCACTGAGCCACATTGGCCTGGCTAAAACAGTGTTTCCTAATGATTTTTTAAAAATTAATCTTTATTGTTGAAAATATTACAGCTGTCCCCCCATTTTTCCCTCATCCTGCTCTTGCCCTTATTCTGAATGTTTTTAAAAAAAATCTGTTTCCTCTGATAAACTTAAAAGTCATACCTTCTCTTAATATATATTTATTTATTAAGTTTAATATGTTATATATATTAAAAGTCATATATGTGTGTATGTATACTATACGTATGCATGTATGTACACACACACACACCCATTAGGCTGAGGTTTTACGAGAGCAAAGTAATATAATGACTCAACTGTTGTGAAGTCAGTGTGGATTGTCCTGTTGATACACTTTAATCTATGTTTATATTTATCTCCTGTGGATTTTCAAATTCTTTTCACCAACAGCATTTAGTTGGAACTTTTCCTTCTTAATGTGATTGAACCCTTTCCTGGAAAATGCTCACATCCTAGTCATGTACTCGGCTGCACCACTAGAGGGAGCCACTCTGTAACCGGTGAAGTCAACCTAACAGACATGACACTGGATGCTAATTACAGGACAGCTGGGTGCTAATCAGAGGCCAAGGCTACCGGTTACACGTAACATATTTCAGATTTATTAAAAAACACCTAGGCAACAAGTCAGAGCTTTGGCAAGGAATGATATGGAGAAGAACTGCAGGCATTCTTCCACAAAACATTCACAGTTGTGTGCTGGGAACAGAGAGCAGGGGGGGATTTTAGAAGCATTTGCGGTGGACAATAGATGGGCCAGCTTCATCGTACTCCTGTTTGCTGATCCACATCTGCTGGAAGGTGGACAGAGAGGCCAGGATGGAGCCGCCAATCCACACAGAGTATTTGCGCTCCGGAGGGGCAATGATCTGTTGGTCAGATGAGAAAGAAGGACCGTTAGTGCACGAGGGCAGGGCCTGTGCTTCTACCAGGGTCCAGATATGATGGGTCTGGCTGAGGCTTCATGGACATCGGGGACGGTCTGGGCTGCGAGATGCCTCACCTTAACCCTAACCCACGGGGGTGTGAACAGCTTCTGGATTTAGAGTTCCTCAGTGAGCACATTCGCTTTTCTGGCTTCCTTTACCCAGTCTACTCCAAAGCATCTGTGACCCCCTTCCACCTTCAGTCTACTGTTGGGCAAATGGAAAGTGGGCCCCAAATTCTGCGAGGTCTCCATGTAAGAGCCCTGATGTCTTTGATTTCCATACATTGAGCCTCAGAACGCGGCACAACATACTTCCTATAAAAACAACCAGCAGTGTCTTCAAAGAGAAGCTGGGATTGCGCCAGAGCTTATTATACAAGTTTGTTTGTTTTCCCACCTGACTGAGATGCACCGGTCAACAGTGCGGGGCTCAGGGCCCCCTGCTGGGACGACCATTCTCTGGCTGGGCCCTGTGCACAGGCCTGGCGTGCAAGAACATGCTCATATTTTTCATATAATTGAAGGTTTAGGCTCAGAAAGCAGCGAATCAGGTTAGGGATCTTGTCTACCTGCAGCAAACCCCAAAATGGCCACAGTTGAGCAATTTCGATTTTCACTCCAGACTTAGATATTTGGGTAGAAATGAATATGGACATTTTGGCCAAACAGACAAGGTATTTCTGAAACCAGGGTAAAAAGGTTTAATTTCTGTTTATCTCCCAAGCTCTGGTTGAACATTTATGTTTAATACGAGTAGTTAGTATTTACGGAGCACTTACTATGCTTAGCCGGGCACTATGCTAAGTATTTGTTCTAATGTCTCATTTAATTTTATTTATTTATTTTTAATTTATTTTAGACAGGGGGGAGAGAGAGAGAGAGAGAAACATTGATGTGAGAAGTATCGCTTGGTGGCCTCTTGCATGCATCCTAACCAGGGATTGAATCTGCAACCTGGATATGTGCCCTGACCAGAAATCGAACCCACCACCTTTCGGTATATGGAACCAAGCTCCAGCCAACTGAGCCACACCGGCCAGGGCTCACTTACTTTTCCTAACTACTTCTTAGAGTAAATATTAAGTCACCCTCAGAGAGTGAAAGAGGTCTAAGTATCTGGCCTCACTCACCGGTCAGACCCTGTGTTCAAACCCCGACCTCTCCCAGGTGTTTTTGGTTTGGTTTGGTTATGTTTTAGAAGAAACGTTTTCACTTGGGATCACTTCAGGTTTACAGAAAAGCTGTAAAGCTAGTGCACAGATTCCTGTACACCCCTCACCCAGTTTCAGTTTCCCCTCACGTCATGACTGTGCGGTCCTTGGTTCTCACAGGTTTCTCCTACCACAGTGGGGCCCAAAGTTCTACATTCATTTCTGTTCAAGAAGCCCAGTTTGCAGAACTAGGAACTACTCGACTCGACGACAGCCTCTCCGCAATACCCCAGCGGAGGCTGGCGTTGTCTGTGGGCCTGCAGCTGGTTTCACCGGATTCCCTTGAGGGGGTGGGGGTAAGAGCAGATCGGAGCGGCACCCCAGAAACACCAGTCCCTTCTCTCGCCTGCAGCCTTGTAGAGCCGACAGGCTAGCACTCTTATGTGAACTGCACACCCTTTCCAAACAAGAAGAGGAGTGCAGAGAAAAGAACTCATTCGAGTGCTTTTCATGTGTGTGACCTGCCCTGGACTACCCCTGCTCTGGCGCTGGGGGAAGGGGCCAGAGGGTCCCAGCATGGCCTTCTGGTTTCAGATGACAGCTTTTGAGAAGTCACTAGTCCATGCATGATGGCCTCCACACAGTGATCTCTGTTTAATCTCGGAGTTCCTTTGACAGGGACTCAAACCTGGCACAATACAGGGGTCCTGGGGGCTCGGGGACTGAGCTTCGTCATCCTGGAGTCATTCTGCACTTCTGAGCTCCTATATCAAAGGTGTGGCAGGCGGAGAGCTAAAGGTCCGCTTTCGTGCCCGGCCTCTGAGATGTGATCACATTTGGCAGTGGAAGAAGGGAGTCGGCTATTGCGTGTACGCGCTTTAAACCTCTTCAGAAGTATGTCTGGCTCCTCTGTCATTCTTGAAATGCTCTGCACATGGGCTGCACTACTTTGTGATGAGGAAACACAACACCGTCTGTTTTAAAGAGGGATGGGCACAGGGCAGCTCTGATGATCGCTGTTGCAGCTGCCACAGTAGCTGACAGGCAAGGATAATTACACATTAAATGTTGCACAAGGTAACTCAACTTCTCTGATGAACTGGTTGACTTATATCCTATCTGGTATGAAACCTGTGGACTCGGACCCACTGTGAGCCCTATACCCCGTGGACCCACGTGGCCAAGGCGGGGCCTCCACAGAGCCCTGCACGTCTGGTGAGAGGTGGGCACCAGCAGGACCAGGCCTGTCCCTGAGCTGTACCTTGATCTTCATGGTGCTGGGCGCCAGGGCCGTGATCTCCTTCTGCATGCGGTCAGCAATGCCGGGGTACATGGTGGTGCCCCCGGACAGGACGTTGTTGGCATAGAGGTCCTTCCTGATGTCAATGTCACACTTCATGATGCTGTTGTAGGTGGTTTCGTGGATGCCAGCCGACTCCATCCCTGGAAAAGAGACACGGGCATGGTCCTGGGTTGGTGGGTAGACCCGCTCAGACATGGACGATCTACGTGGACGATCTCACACTGACTGCAGCTAAGCAGACGTCATAACCGCGGAGGCTCCCATCAGAGACCAAAGGCCCCTGCACTGCTCCGTGGCCTCCCACCTCTTGTCTAGTGCGGAGGCCCAGTGGTGGCACCTCTGGGAGGATAGGGGGCTGCAACATCATGCCGCCGGTTTTAATAGACTCACTACTACGTGTGGCTTGAATCGGGGGCAAAGCCCTGAGACCCCTGTAGGAGGTTCCCACAGAGCCAGCGTTGCAGCCATTGCCCAGGCCCTCTCCCTGCCCCCGGCTGCTGCCTCAAAGCGACATGATGTTGAACCATCATAAAAGCGCTTCTTCATTCGATTTGGACAAAGACTCATTTTTCTTCCATGTTTATAATATTTCTTTATCCGAATGTTTTGTTAATTTCTGATGTGGATCTTTTTGAGAGGGAGTGAGGGAGAGAGAGAAACATTGATGTGAGCGGGACACACTGACTGGCTGCCTCTGCACGACCCCGACCAAGGCCGGGACCGAACCGCAACCAAGGTACGTGCCTTTGACCGGAATCGGACCCGCGACTCTTTGGTCCTCAGGCCCACGCTCCAACCGCTGAGCCAAACCGGCCAGGGCTGATGTGGGTCTTTTGAAAAGAACCTCTTTTTTGCAGTGTGGTGATGAATAATACTAAAAATAGTAAGAGTAATAATAATAACACCTAACTATTCATTGCTGCCAATATCTGATAATCATTGCGTGCTTATTTTGGCCATCCCCTGGGTTAAGTGATCCACACATATAATTCTCACAGCCACTCTGTGACATAGACACTGTTACAATCTTCTTTTTATACATGAGGGCATGGGGCTTGGGGAAGTTAAGTGACTTTCCCAAGAATATGAAAGTAGAACTAACGCAGGCTCAAACCTCCCAGAGCCTGCCCTCTGTAAACAGCTATGCTGACCTTTCCCCCAAGGTCAGTGCTACTGTAGGAAGGGGCTGTTCCATTTTTCTGTCCCCTTCCCACCCCCAGACTCTCAGCATTCAGCACTCCCTCCATCCACCCAGTGGCTCCACTGTGTCCTAAGCATGAATATTTGGCTTTCGACCTAAACCACACGCCGAGAATGCTTCTGGCTTAACTACAACAGGCTGTTTTCTTGGAAAGACTACTCCCTTCCTGGCCTTCTTAAGTCTTCTCACTTGAAAAATGGGGCACCCTCTGCCTTGCCCTGGTGTAGAAATGGGTTTGGTCTTACGGCCCCATCACATATCCCCACGTGTGACCAAAGGCTGGTGGGGGAGGGGCGGCTGGGTGATGGCCCCTTCCCAGGACTCTTGCCTACCGATGAAGGAAGGCTGGAACAGGGTCTCCGGGCAGCGGAAGCGCTCATTCCCAATGGTGATCACTTGCCCATCCGGCAGCTCGTAGCTCTTTTCCAGGGAGGAGGAGGACGCAGCAGTGGCCATCTCGTTTTCAAAGTCCAGAGCTACATAGCACAGTTTCTCCTTGATGTCTCGGACGATCTCACGCTCAGCTGTTGAGATACAAGCATTAGGGTTTGCACAGGTGGTAAAAATCCACCTGTCCTACCTCAGTCCCTCCCGCAACACTGGATATTCTGGGACCACAAATCCTTGATGTAATCAAATTGCGGGTCCGCTAGAACCACTTCTGTTCTGAGCAGAGTCCGCACACACGGTGCACCCTAGTAAATGCTGTCTGCAAACGCAGGACGCGCGTGACACGGGCTAGCAAAGGCCCAGAGCAGGGGGTCCTTTTGTGTGTTGTGTTTTTGCAGGATTAACTGATCACTCTCTGTTATCATCTTTTTTTATAACAGTTAGTTACACTGGATTTTTCAGTTGACCTGGAAGTCTTATGCTAATGCAGCCCCTTTGGGCCCCTCCCAAGCTCTGGAGAGCCGTGTCACCTGGTCCAGGAAGATTCCAGTTCAAACCCTGGGCATATTCATTGCCTTCTAGAGAGAGGCGGGCCCTGGCTCAGGTCCAGTCCTGTCCGGAAGTCTCCGGGTATGGAATATGGGTAGGCAGGTCCCTTTCAGCCTCCTGCATTCTGCCACTGATTCCATCTGGGCCCCTGGGGACCTTTTGGAGGTATCGTGGGGGGTGTTTGTTGAGCACAGAGTCAGAAACAAAATTATTTAACTCCCTACTCCTACAGGAGACTTTAACATCGTCAGGGCTCAGACTTGGAGTCTAGTATAAACCATAGACATACCCAGAAACCTAAACATGTAGACACTAGCAAACGGGCAAGGGGAGGGCAGGCAGCTAGGGCTGAGGGCACCGAGGACGTCCCATCTCCATAACATCTGCCTCTGCCTCTCGTGGGTGGAGACCAGGTGGCACCAGTTCCAAGTTCAAAGACACGTGTATCACTGCCTGCCGGGTTGGTCTTAGTGCTGGCTACTAGCTATCGCATGCTCACTCTGTGCTGGGTATTTCCAGTGCATTATCTGATTTAACACTCACAACCATCATGTGAGAGATGGTCCATGATCATCCCTATTTTACAGATGAAGAGACTATGGCCAGAAAGGTTGGGAAACTTGTTTAAGATCACACAGCAAGTGGGTGGCAGAATCGGTCCCCAAGCCCTGTCTAGATGTCTCCAAAGATTGCCCATCACCACAGCCTACCGTCTTCAGCCTCTGCACTCGCTCTTCTATTTGCGAATGGAGGGGATTAAAAAGTGTTCAGAAAATACAGCTCTGGCTAGCTGATCATACTAGATGGTTCTTACTGTTCTACTCAAGGAAACAGTGTAACTATTTTGCAATGTCATCTAGTTTAAAAAAAAAAAAAAAGCCATCTGCAACACTGCCTCCCATTGTTTCCCTGGCTAGTCACTGCGGTCCTGTGAATTCCTAGGAAGAACACAGGCCCCCGACCCTCTTCCGGTCATTGCCGCGGCCTCACCTGTAGTCACGAAGGAATAGCCACGCTCCGTCAGGATCTTCATGAGGTAGTCGGTGAGATCGCGGCCAGCCAGGTCCAGGCGCATGATGGCGTGGGGCAGGGCGTAGCCCTCGTAGATGGGCACGTTGTGGGTGACGCCATCTCCCGAGTCCAGCACAATGCCTGGGGACAAGTGGGCACAGTAAAAGTCACCATGGCCGCTGGTCACTTGCTGGTCTAAAAGGGGGGATTTCTAAGCTTCTTTTTTGAAAAGAAAGCATTTGGTAGGATAGGAGAAGGGGACAGGGCTTGGGGAAAAGAAAAAGTAGGAAGACAGAATCAATAGAAGTCCTGTTCAAGGGCTCATCTTTAAAGGTGATGAAAGAACTGTTAGGGCTGGAATTAGCCCTGTCAAGTCTCAGTAACCCTCGGTCATCACAACACATGAATTTATAACCATCAACTCCTATAACTGATGGTGTACCCAGTGAAGGCTCCCATTCCTCCCGGCACCTACCAGTTGTACGTCCAGAGGCGTAGAGGGACAGCACCGCCTGGATGGCCACGTACATGGCTGGGACATTGAACGTCTCAAACATAATCTGCAAAGCAACCCAAAGAGCTAAGTTAGTGACGCTGCCGGTCTTACCAAGAATGTTCAAGCCCTGGCTGGTATGCTCAGTGGTTGGAGCATCATCCCATGCACCAAAAGTTTGCAGGTTCGATTCTCGGTCAGGGCACATACCCAGGTTGTGGGGTCAATCCCCAGACAGGGCACATGTGTGAGGCAACCAATGGATGTTTCTTTCTCTCTCCCTCTTCCTTCCTCTCTCTAGAATTAATCAAAAACATGGTCTCAGGTGAGAATTAAAAAGAAAAAGATGTTCAAGAAAGTGTCTTCTTGCTGATAAATGCCAATCTTGACTTCTCTGACATAAGAAAAGAGACGTTTTAACCCGAAGCTCAGATTGGTTGTGATTAGCCTAGTTCTGTGGTTTGTCTGCGGTTCCATGTAGTCGGTTTGATTTTTTTTCATGTAGTTGCTGGGTCATCGCCAGCCCTAGATTCTGAGGTTCTCTGGCTGTGGTGTAAGAAGCCCTGCTTCTTGGAAGATGGGAACTGCCTGCTGGTAATCAAAGACCACATATGAAGGCAGCACCCAGCTCACACAGCCCAGGGGCAAGATCAGAACCAGAGCCCCTCTCGGTCTGTGTGGCAAGTTCGTGCACACTGAGATGCCCACCGACCTCCGTTTCTCCATCTGCAGGCCCTCCCAGCTCTGACTGTTCACTAGAATGTCTGACATCATTGCCAGGGAGCCATAATCTCGACTGTTTTTCTGTCTTGACACCACTGAGGAACAGTAATGCCCATCGTAAAGAACATCTCTTGCTCCACGGAGCGATTCCCGGCACACAGATGCTTCCCTGCAGAGAGTAACTGCTAGTGTGTTGGGGTTGCACCTGGAACTCCTCCCAGGAAAAGGCCTTGCAGTCTTTACATTTATTGTTCTTCAAGCCCAAAAGATTAAGGGTCAATTCCAGGCTCTGCCACCTCCAGCGGTTTGACTTTGGGACATTCACCTACTGTATTTGAGCCTAGATGCCTTCCTTTACATAATTAGGGTGATAATAGGCCCTGTTTCACACATTGCTAAGATTTAAAAAAGATAAGGTTCAGCAGTTAGAACACCAGCCCGCAGACCAGAGAGTCCCAGGTTCGGTTCCCGCTTAGGGCACGTACCTCGGTTGTAGTACGTCCCCGGCCCCGGTTGGGGTCATGTGGGTGGTAACCACTCGATGTGTCTCTCTCACATCGATGTTTCTCTCTCTGTCTTCCTCCCTCTTTCCCTCCCGCTCTATCTGAAAATAAATGCAAAAAAAAAAAAAAAAAATGTCCTCGGGTAAGGATAAAAAAAGAAATAAAAAGATGATGCTTGTAAAATGCCTAGCTCAGTGCTGAACCACGGTGAGCATGAAGTTGATATTAGAGGCTTTGATTACATAGCTCATCCAAACTGGGACCCTTGTCTGGCTGGTGGAATGGCTGGCTTCCTGCTGCGAGGTCCTCGAGCTTCAGTGACAATAACGACAATAATAACTATTACTCATTGAATGTGTATTATACCAAACACGAAGGTGCACATTGAACATTTTCCTCATTAATCTTCACATCAAGCATTTAAAAAATCATGGTACTAACATTCCCAAGTTTTAAACTTGGGAAGCAGGCTCTGGGAAATTCAGAGGACGGTTGAAAGGCACCTGGCTAATAAGTGACAGATCCAGTCACTGAGGCCTGTCTGACTCCAGAACCAAATTCTCCGCTGGACATTGGCGTGCACTTTGAAATGACTTCGCCTTAGAAGTTTTTCACCTAAACGTGTCACTTTTTCAATGAAATCTTTTAAATGTCCTATTGTTCTTGGAGGTCAAAGGCAGTAGCCCCTGCAGGAAGAATGGGGTACCATTAGGAGGTCCCTGTCCTTCGGAATCCCCGAGTTCCTGGAGGGTGCCAGTCTGTGAGGGGACTGCTGGCCGGGCCAGCTCTCTGCTGTTCTGTCCAAGCCCCTTCCAAACGGACTTTCCCCAAACCCGAAGTGCTGGGTCCCGGAGTGGGTATTTACCTGGGTCATTTTCTCCCTGTTGGCCTTGGGGTTCAGGGGGGCCTCGGTGAGCAGGGTTGGGTGCTCTTCAGGGGCGACACGGAGCTCGTTGTAGAAAGAGTGGTGCCAAATCTAGGGGTGACAAAGGAGAAGCACAATGGTGTGATGTTGTGGGGGCACTGCAGACCCCGAAAGGGACCAGAATGAGCCACACCAGACAAGGACCAAATAAAATGGGACAAGTACTTATTATGTGTCCACATTTGTACCAATGCAGGCTGAAGCTCCAATCCTGAGAAAGTTACCCACGGATTTATGGCCACTAGATGAATATACAAAAACCCGAACCCAGGTCTGTGAGGCAGGATGGCGCAGTGGTTAAGGCCACAGGCTTTGGAGTCAAATCTGAGTTTAAATCCCAGCTCAACCCCTTCGTGGTTGTGTGAGCTTAGGAAAGTGTTAACCCCTTCAGCTCCAGTCTCACCGCAGCGAATATGACAATTATTAGTGTGTCTTTGTGAGACTCAAGGAAACCCTAGAGTTACTGGTTAGCCCAGTGCAAAAGTTCTTCTTCTTCTTTTCACCCCTTACTTCTATTTTAGTTTCACGTTCATGGGGAAATAACTATGCTTATTTAAGTAGAAGGACAAATGAATGAAAATATGAATGGATGGATGACGTTGACCTGAAGACCTAGTGGGCATTTTTAATTCTTTAGGAAAATGCCCTGCAGGGTATATATTAAGAGAAGGCAGGTGCCCTGTTTCCAGTCTCCATCCCACCACCACCTGGTTTGCTCTGCAGGCCGGAGAAGTCTGCCCCACTGGCATACGCCGGGCCGTCCATTTACGGGCCCGCGTTTGGCCTTCAGGTGTCTTCAAAGTCAGTGCCTATTGTGTGAATGTACTTTGAACATAAACGTGTTTCACTTCCTCTTTAATCCCTGAATGCCACAAAGAACAAATCATTGTACAAAGGGCTAAGCTGATTAGTTTTAAATGCATGGAACTTCTCCACTGACATCAGGAATATTCGATGTAGCCAGAATTAAAACAAGAACTGCTGGCGAAAGACTCTCGATTAACAAAAGCAAGGACAACTTTATACACTCTTCATTTGCTCCGGTGTCTTTGGTTTTGAATTCGTGGTTTCTGGAAAGGAAATGAGACTTCTGCAAGTTTTTTTTTGTTTTTTTTGTTTTTTTTTTTATGGAGTAAAAGAATGAGTTTGCTCATGAAATACTTCCAGTCATATTACATACTGTGGTTATCTGAAACATCATTTAAAAACATCCTCTCTCTCTCTCTAAAAGACACTTTGAATTTAAATTTTAGAAAAGATGAAATGCTTTATTTGTTCTAAAGAACCTTCTTCAGGGGCATACATTCTGAGATGCTGGCAGCTCCATGGAGAAAAACCTAAAGAATATTTTCGAACTGCTATTAATATCCTTTCCTCAGTACAAATCATGGTATTAACCACATCCAGAATCTTAGACCAAGCAAACCCAATGAAACGCAATTTTTGTAGAGAAGCCGAGGTTCCAGCATTATTACTGATAATTCTAGCACCTCAATTTTTTTAAACCGATAAGCGCATGTTTGTGTGCAATTGTGTGTGTGTGCGTGGGGCTGATAAATAAAAGTCCAGGTGTTGTGGTTCTAATATATTTTGCTGCATTAAAAAAAATTATGTCACTAACCCATGGACACTGACATCAATGCGGTGAAGGTGGGAGGGAAGGGGTCCGGGAGTGGGGAGGGGGTGTCAATGGGGGTAAAAAAAAAAAAAGGGAAGAACATCTGTGATACCTTCAACAATAAAGATATATCCAAAAAAAAATTTTTATGTCACTTTCTCATTATTCCTTCTACTTTTTCTCTAATTGCTTGTGTTTCTATGACGTCTAGGATTTAACTTGTCTCCTCATAAGCTGGGCCTGGGAGATAAAATCTTCACTTAAATGCAACACAGAGAGATACTGTTTAAAATATTTATTGCAAAACTTTGTCAGCTGTGGCTTCAACATGTTGAGGGACATTCAGGAATGTACCAAATCCTCAATGTCACAGCCCTCTTTTCTGCAATGAAACTAAAGAATTTTTTTTTCTTAATACTCAGGTGAGTTCATGAAAAGCTTTCAAGAATGGGTGGGGTGAGGCTACAGCAGCTCTGCAACTGCCCTTTCGCTGAGTTGCACGGAGAGGCAGAGCCATGTAGCCTGTGATGAGAGAAGGGCATCCGCCTGGATGCTGCTCAGACCTTGCGGGTCCTGGGAGGTAACCCACTGCCCTGAGCAATAACTGTTTATTCCCATTGCTGGCAAAGGATGACTGTTCTCACCTATAGAACTGCCTTCTTCTGCTCAGTTTATAATCCCTGTTGGGCAAGGAATTTTTAAAAAAGAAATACTCCAGGATGTATTTTCTCAGGTAGTGGTAATCTAGAAGAAGCATCAACCAGTTGAGACTACATGGAGGGACCTGGAAAGTATCATCCTAAGTGAAACAAGCCAAACAGAGAAAGACAAATTTCATATGATCTCACTGATTTGTGGAATATAATGAACATAACAGTTTGAGGACAATCCCCTAAGGAGTGGGGAGGTGAGAGAGGGATGAACCACAGAACTTATATGCATGTATGCATGAACAGTGGACATGGACAACAATCTGGGGAAGGGGCAGGGAGGGAAGGGGGAGGGGGGAATCAGTGGGGGAAAAAAGGAGAATCATTTGTAACAAAAATTAATCAATAAAAAAAAAAATACAAAAAAAAAAAAAAAAAAAAAGAGGACACTTGGGCCGATTGTAGCAGGTGTTTTGAACCAGGGCCCACAGGCGTTATGCAGCCCGAGGCCTCAGCCCGCAGCACAGTGCCAGTACCTTCTCCATGTCGTCCCAGTTGGTGATGATGCCGTGTTCTATAGGGTACTTCAAGGTCAGGATGCCTCTTTTGCTCTGTGCTTCGTCACCCACGTAGCTGTCTTTTTGTCCCATTCCCACCATCACTCCCTAAAAAGAGACAACAAATTCCCAGTCAGCCTCTGCTACTTATGAATTGATGACAGGCCAATGCCAAAGGGTGAAATTACTGCAGAACAACAATATGCTGGGTCTTATGACCACGATGTTCTTAAGCAACATCCCTCAGTCGGTCAGAAATGGATCCGAATCGGCCTCCAGATGGCAGAGGACCCTGTGGGTAATGCCACTTTACATGTGCCGTGGCTTCTGTGTTTCGCTCTGTTGGGGCAGAGGTTGTGTTTGTCTGGGTTGTCACTATGACAAATTGCCTGGCACATATTTGTCATGCAATATATTGAATGAATGAATGTATAAAGTTTTACATAAAAGTTCAATGGCATCTTGCTTCTCATCAACTGTACTTTTAAAGCTGTTGTCTACTCAAGAGTATATAAATATTATTTTCTAATCTTTATGAGCAAAAGCATTATGTCTACAAATGACCATTCAGTGCTTGATTTCTGATGGATAAACCCATACCAATTAACATTAGGACATTTGTCAGATTTTTTTTTTTAATCAGTAAGGTGATGTTTAAAAAAAGAAAAGAAAGAATCCTCATTACTGGAATTTTAAATTGCACAAGAGTGACTGCTTTCGAGTTGTGTAACAGTCAGCTACTCTGGATCTATAAATAGTGGTTGTGTGATACATCTTCACTACACAAAGTTCCATAAAGAGACAGTTCACTCATTGAGAGAGGCTTCTGTTATCTGTTCTTGAGAATGTACACCAAGCGAAGAGCCATAAATATCAGTGTGCAAAGTATATTTCTGATGTGAAGGAGAATTTCTGAGATGAAACTCTCAGTTTTTACCATGTGGCTGCCACCAACATTTTGTTTATACATATTATGTAAAAAAATTACCACGCGGCTGTCCAGATGTATCTTGTTGACAGCTAACAACATGTAAAATTACAGTTGGTAACAAAGCTTACTTTCATCTAACATCAAGCTCTTTGAGAATGAATGACCTGGGCTTTTAGTGTGGTTTCTCTCTAAAGAACAGGTATGACATGCATCAGGGAACTCAGAAGTATCCCTGATATTGATGATGATGATGATAATGGCAATAATTATATTTACAAAAAAGAATTTATGAAAAAGGGGCAGACATATCTGGTAGAAACCCCCCAGATAATCTATTTTGCATATGAAATTGGCACTTATTCCTTGACATTAATCATCAGGGGTATATTTTTAGCAAGGTTACATAATTTGGGGGCGGCAATCAACAGACAATCTGTGGACACCATTGACACTCAGACATAGAGGGACCTAATCTGTAGCCCTGTTTCTCTCTGTTCCAAACAGGATCGTGCTCACCTGATGTCTGGGACGCCCCACAATGGATGGGAAAACAGCCCTGGGAGCATCATCCCCAGCAAAGCCGGCCTTACAGAGCCCAGAGCCATTGTCACACACCAGGGCAGTGCTGTCCTCTTCTTCACACATCTTGGCTGGGGCTGGGTCACAAGGTCCTGCAGGGAACAGGGAGGAAGCGGCTCCAGCTGTAATCCAGCAGTTGTCACCCTTCCCTGACCACTCCCAGCTTCCAGGCTGGGTTTGCAGGCCCCCTCTGGGCTCCTGGAGCACTCACCGCTGAGCCTTATTTAACACTGAGTCCATCTCAAAGTCCTTTTTTTTTTTTATATACTCACCCGAGGACATTTTTCCATTTTTTTGTTCAGATAGAGTGGGAGGAAGAGAGAGAGAGAGAGAAACACCAACGTGAAAGGGACACATCGAGTGACTGCCACCCACACGACCAACCAGGGCCGGGGACAAACTGCAACTGAGGTACACACCCTTAGCGGGAACCAAACCTGAGTCTCTCTGGACCACAGGCCGATGCTCTAACCGCTGAGCCAAACTGACAAGGGCCATCTCAAGGTCCTTTAATTAGAGGGCTAGCTTCCTATAAATCAAAACTCTGAATTTCCTGTTCATACAACTGGCTTCCCGCACAGAGGCTGGCATGTGTCCTGGGCTCATAAGCACATTAAACACGGACTGAACGAGCAGATGAATGGACAGCTATAGAGCCCAGATGGAAATATCAGACTATGAGGCCAAATCTTCAGAGGGACAAGTCACTCGTCATATGTTAAAGAAGTATTTGACATTTACTGTCAGTATCCACCCAAATTCACATTTTTTTTACATATAACTTTAAAATTCTTTAAATAATGTAGATTTTAAGGGACGAGCAGCACATAAAAATTTGGAAATGTTGAAAGGTTGAAATGTTTAATGTAAAATGTTTAAAAGGAAAATCTATCGAATCCTGAGGACCTTTATTTTATCTTTAGAAAAACATTAGACCAATCACCCTGGCTGGTTTGGCTCAGCGGTTAGTCACAGTCCGTGGACCAAAGAGTCATGGTTTGATTCTGGTCAAGGGCACATACCTGGATTGGTACCTCAGATGTGATTCGATCCCCAGTTTTGCAAGAGGCAACCAATCAATGTGTCTCTTTATCAATGTTTCGCTCTCTCGTTCCCTCCCTGCCTCCCACTTTATCTGAAAATCAATGGGAAAATATTCTCAGGTGAGGATTAAAAACAAAAATTAGACCAATGAAAGCATTCTAATAAGAGGTCCGCAGTTATTCTCCATTAAGAAAAATCCAACAAATGAGGGAGAATCCAATACATTACACATTATGCAGTAGAGCACTTTGCTGCCATTAAGAAAGATAAGCAAAAGGACAAGCTACAGGTATATTCTTATGTAGGAGCAATAGGTTAGAGGAAGTACCATTGATGCTCCCATTGAAGAGTATTTTTATACTTTATAGAAAGATTAATCATATTTACCAAGATGCTGATGGGGGTTATTTTGAAGTAGTAGGTTTTGTAGGTGTTTTTAATCATCTTCCCTGTGGTCTATAACATTTTCTAAATTTAACATGTATTCTTTAAGTAATAAAAATATCTTACTCTTAAGCCCGGATCCTATGATGAACTTGGAAAGGCGGAAGCCAAGGTAACAACAATTTGCAGACATAGGAAATTGAAGGCCTATTAGAGAATATTTTCATCCAGTGCCCTTATTTTTATAAATGAGAAAACCAGGGCAGTGATTTGCTCAAGGGCACATAAGACCTTAGAGGCAGAGTTGAATCAGGGCTACCCCTTGGCTTTCCATCCCAACTCCCTTCCACTTTCTCCACACAGAATTAGGTGGAAACGTCCTGTAGAGAAAGGAACACCCAGCACTCTCTGCCTGACTTTGGGATCCTAGGATTCAAGTTGAGGAAGATTCTTCTAAGTTGGTGAACTCGTTGTACGCCCAGACCTAGATATGAAAGGCAACTCTTGTAAGGAAATTTCTGGGAGGTAAGGAAAGACTAAGCTATGACGACTGGAGTTCCGCCAGGCCGTTCCCACAAAATCAGTGCTGCCTCTTTCCAAAGGCCTAGAAGTTCCACAGCAGGGTCTCAAGTCACATGCCCCTTTGCAAAGAACATGAACCTCAGTCGAGGCATTGCATATTAAAATGCAGGGCATGCACTATTCGTCTCCAACTGACACGCAAGGAAACCAAGAGCCAAGGAATTGAAGTGACTTGTCCAAGATCCTCAAACTGGTCGGGTTAGACTGCAGAGCGCAGTGCAGACTAATGCCTGGGTTGGGGTCCCAGTTTCTCCACCTAGAAGCTGTGCGGCCTAGTAAATTATTCAACATCTTGAAATAACAGTTTCTTTTATTTATTTATTTATTTATTTATTTATTTATTTATTTATTTAGCTTTATTGATGTTATAGAGAGAGAGGAAGGGAGAGAGAGATAGAAACGTCAATGAGAGAGAACATCGATTGACTGCTTCCTGCACTCCCCCCCCTTACTGGGGATCAGGCCCACAACCTGGGCATGTGCCCTGACCGGGAATGGAACCAGTGACCTCTTGGTGCCTGGGTCGATGCTCAACCACTGAGCCAGACAGGCCGAGCAACAGTTTCCTTATCTGTAAAACAGCAGTAATGTCAGTACCTACCACACAGAGTTCTTATGGGGATTAGATTTTTTTTTAACATTACAGTCCTGGCCGGTGTGACTCAGTTGGAGCATTGTCCTGTGCACCAAAAGATGGATGTCTGGTCAGCGTACATACCCCGGTTTCGAAGTTGATCCCTGGTGGGGGGCACATACTCTAAGGCAACCGATGTAATCAATGTTTCTCTCTCACATCGATGTTTCTCTCACCCCTCCTCTCTCTAAAATCAATAAAAAAACATATCCTTGGGTGAGGATTAAAAAAAAAACACACACACATTAAAAATAATTTATGGTGTCATATACATGAAGTTTTCAATAAATATTTGTTTTTATAATTATTATAATTATTGTTATTATGTAATTATTATCATTATCTCGATCTTTTGATTGCTAGTCTCTGCTTCCTTTCCACACTCCTCTGGGCTTAGGATGGACACCCTCAACTTGTGGATTCCACTGGTAAGAATGGAACACCCTTCCCTCTCCTCTCCAGACACTGTGCGGGACATTCCTGCGACCCGGCTTCTTTCCTAGCGGATTAAGAAGCTGGAACCGAGGTGAGAAATGAATGTAAAGGAGGCAAATCAGAAAGGCAGTGAAGAGACCAAGGCATGAGGCGAGGCGCCAGAACCAGGCTCACAGGCTCTCTTTGGATGTGCTAAGCAGACTCTCCAAACCAAAAGAGCTGAAAACAGGATTAAATATGTGGAATAGCGCATTCTAAAAATGTGACGGGTGGTTCAGCATGCATACGCGTCCTTAACGAGCCTTTTGTTGGGCAGAAAGGGCTGGAGGGAGTGTTTGAATACACTGCAGAAAAAGTAGGCTGCCCCTCAGCATCAGCTCGCATGCAGGCAAAGAGGCTCAAAATTCAGTAAATGTACTTGTATTTAGCAAAAAAATGTCCCAGAAGGATTTGGTCATCTCTGGAAGAAGCACTGTCTTTGCAGAAGAAGTCTCTGTGTCTCTCTGTCCCCAGAATGGAGGGCTCAGTGGTTTCCAACTCTTATCTAACCTGCCTGAGCAAGACGGTTTGGAGCACAGCATTTCCTAATTAGGTAAAACACACGCGAAAGTCTGCTTTTGGAACTGCAGCCGGGTCAGGGGGTGCAGTTGCTCCGACCCAGTGCATCTTGTGCCAAAAATGAGTCGCTAGTGGGAGGGGAGTGGGGGGAAGGGGAGAGAATGTTGCAGTTCCCAGCTCCTCCGTCTTGAAAAGCAAACCATATTTAGTCATGAGTTACAAAATGGAAGGGAAAATCTCAGCGTGAAAACTCCCAGTTTTGAGCCGAAGCTGCCAAGCCCTGACTGACAGCGAAGTTCAGCCTGGCTGCACGTCCCCCGGCCCCAGCGGGCGGAGAGGAACGCAGACCAGCGTCCAGCAGTTGGAGGCAGAAGCAGCTGTCATCTGCTCGCTCTGCTCCCTCCCTCTTTCTTTGCAGAAAAGGATTCGGTTGGTTTCCTGCTGCACTCTGCTGCAACCGACCCAGCAACCGATCATCTTCACATCCTGACATGTAAACTCACAGACACACTCAGGAGACATACCTTTCCCACAGAAAATACTACCAGTTAGAGCCAGAGGAACCCAGAGTCAAAGACACAAATACCAAAGACCAGGCAACTAAAATCCACTTCCAGACACCTTCGCTGCACCAAAAACCCACTCCAGTGAAGACTCCCATTCCCAGTCCAAACCCCAAATACTGCTGTTTCCAGTGCCTAAAAATAAGTAAATGTGTAACATATGCAAATTATGAAAATGCAAACAGCTAGACTGCATCCCTGAAACGTGTTACAAGATCTGGGCTGTTGGGTTAGTATAAACAGATTTTACTGGTGACACAGAGACTTCATTTCATTTTCTTTCCCCTCTCCTCCCCCATACCAAGCTGCTTCTTAGCCTTCTTGTTAGTGTTAGGTAATTAGAGCTCAAAGCTACACTCATTTTCAGTAGTACAATCTTCATTCAAAACTTTCAGAGTACATGAGCCCAGCCAAATCCCTGTGGACGACGTCTGATGATACTGGGTAACATCAGAGCTGCTGGAATCTGTAAGTCAACTTCCTGGGCAGTGTCACTTACCCTGACAGTGCTGGCTGGGCTTCTGGGCTCTGGGTGATGTTCCGAGAAGCCCGGCACTGAAGGGTTATATAGCCCCTTGGCCTGCTCCCCTCCCACTTGCTTCCCAAACAAGGAACAAAGACAGACTTGAGCCAGTCGTACATGCTAACACAACCATATAGGGACCTCAGCACAAAACTCTCTAATCTGGGTGGCCAGAGGCCTGGGTCTCTTCCACTGCATTCCACGGCTCTGCTCATGAAATGGGAGGCAGCTCAGCTGCCTGTGGGAGATAAACACCCCAAGCCTTCGGAACAACTGCTGAACCTCCCAGCGGCACCGAGCTGGTGGAAGGGGCAGAGGCAGGCGCGGATTGCACCTTCCCCAGAAATTGCCAGCCTACTGTCCTGCTGGTGTTGTCTAATGAGCCGAGAACAGAAAGAAGTGGCCTTTTAAGAGCTCTCCAACAAAGGTGGCCAGCAATAAAGAAAGTATTGCTTCCATTGTTCATAAACAGATGCAGGGAGTGACGATTTTATGGTAGTCAAGGCTGTGTTTATAGACTGAGTCCGTGAGTAGTGTTTATGGAATAGGAACTGAAGTGGACACAGGGCTGATGGGCTGTATGTTGAGGAGCTTGGCAGTCTGCATCACCAGAACCACTTTAGTCCTTTGATACATTAGATATGTCCACTAATTTGAGCAATTTAGCAGCACGATTAGGGAATATCCTTTGAGTTGAGTGTCCATGCAGCATCCTGTCACAGAAGCAGTTTGAGAGAGAAAAGAGCATGTTTAAGGGAAGTCTCTCTGATCCTCGTTTCTCTCTGCTGACCCATTTGACAGGAGACAGAGCAGGTAAGCCAGAGATTTCTCAAAGGTAGGTATTGAATGAATGCAAATCTGGCCTTCAGCTCTCATTCCCAATGGTCAATGGTCAGCTTTCGTGGTTTTACATTGGTTTGCTCTGCTTGCTCCTCCAAGCTAAGGTTTTAACTCAATTCATGATAAACATACTTTTGATGGATACCTTGAGTATTTTCAGACTGCTGACATCTGACATGTGAAAAACAATCCCAGAAGGAATGGTTTTATTTACAGCTGTGACCATCTATTCATCATGGTACTGCACCAGATGTTTGATTTATGGTACACACACATACACATGCACACACACACATACATGCACACACATACACATATACATACACACACCTTACACACACACACCTCACACACACACCTACCCACACACACATACCTACATACACACACACACAAACCCACACCTACACACACATACACACACCTATATAAATACACATACACATAAGCACGCACACACACACCTACACATACATACACACACACACACACAAACCTGCACATACACATACACACCCACATACACATACACGTACATGTATTTCTCTTGGAGAAATTGTACTGTTGATTATTTAAAAATTTCAAATAGCTTAAGACTAAATGATGACAGATTTCGCTGTGTTTTTCAGAAAGTTGTCAACTGTGTCTAGTTTTTATCAATTGGAAAACACCACTGTCCAGATGTTCAAATATGAAGATGACAGCAATACAACATAAAATTGAACATTTGGGATTAAGCCAATGGTTTTTCTAACAGGGGTCATATGAAGTAAAAACTTTGTATTTTCCTGATTAAGAGGCAATTCGAGTAGAGGCGGGATCCCTCTCCCCCTACTTCTGTCTCAAGTAGTGTCTATGAAGCCCCTAGTAACTTTATAAAGTGAAAGTTCTGCCCAGCTGGTGTGGCTCAGTCGTTGAGCATCGACTCATGCAGTAGGAGGTCACTGGTTCGATTCCTGGTCAGGGCACATGCCCAAGTTGTGGGCCAAATCCCCAGTGGGGGACATGCAGGAGGCAGCCAATTGATGTTCTCCCATCAATATTTTTATCTGTCTCTCCCTCTCCCTTCCTCTGTCTCTCTAATATATCAATCAAGAAAAAAATAAATAAATAAAGTGAATGTTCCTTTAAATACCAAAAAAAAAAAAAAAAATGTTTTGGTATTTACCTCTGTGATTCTTACGTCATTTTCCTCCTTGATTTCAGGGTGTACCCTCAGCCCTGACAGTCATCAGACTATGACAACATACACAGACATACAAGAAGACACCTCAAGACTTAGTTTTCCTTACAAGCTTTTCTCCCCTTCTTCTTTCCTCCCTCCTCCTTTTCCCAATCTTTCTCTCTATTCTCCTTTTCTCCCTCTCTCCCTGTCTTTCTTTCTCTTTCCTCCCTTCTCTCTAAAAATAAATTTATGAGCAGATGATTAAATGGTCTCATTGTCCGGGTTTGAGGTTTATACTTTCCTATCCCATCCAGTGTCTCCAGTGAAAGAAAGCAGCCCTGGATGAGTGTGTGCATGTACAAGGATCCCTTGTCGAGTGGCCAGATATTCTCTGGGGCTGTCGGCCACGTATCCAAGGAGCCGTGGAGCAGTTAGGCAAACAGTAGTGTCTGATGACTTGGTTGCAGTTCAGAAAAACTATAAAATAAATTCTGAACTATAAGCACATAGTCAAGAAGCAGCTCCAGATGTGTTGTTCTACAAACATCATATACCATCTTGGGAACATTATTCAGTGATGATTTATTGTAAATTCCTTGAGATCTGGGACAGTTTTAAACTCTTCTGGGGCCCAGTCCAGAGCTGAGTAAGCAGTGACTGCTCAACAATTGCCTAACAATTTCTTAACCATGCTTTATCCCCAGCCCCTGTACATTTAAATTAGTCCATGCCAAGACAGACACCTCCTTTAATACGAATGTCTGGTAAGGAAAATGATTTGCGGCTGCTGTTGAATATGTGGGCTGTAGGAGTTGTTTCCTCCAGACTGATCACATTCATTCGCTATTTTGCTCAGCTCATAAAATTCATTTTGTCTGAGAAGATGGAGTGAGAGCCCAGGTGTCTTTCCCATCCCCCATTGTTGAAATTCTCCAGGTTCTGCAATTCTCAGAACCAAAGGCTGAGTTCTCCTAAGGGAGCCCAAGCAGATAAACTCATCAAACCCATGTTGGTGCAATGATCACTCGAACCACAGCTGCGAGGCTGTGCCAGGCTCTGTTCTGTTCTTCGCTTGAGCATAACTGAGACTCTTCATGGTGATGTTGATTTGATGCCTCCTATGGGGATGTGAGGACTGGTATTTGGGAAATGTGCTAATTCTCAGTAGATGGTGTTTATTTTCATTTATTTCAAAATCTGAGACACTCACAGAAACCCCGTAAGAGAAGACACTTGGAATGCTAAATGCAAGAGAAACGCGCATATAAGGAAGAAATGCGGCGGCCATTGGCCCTCACAACTCGTCTTTGTATAAAGGCAGAACCTTTTAGATCAATGCATAAAGGATTTTGGTTCAGGGTTCAAGTTCTAGATCTACTACTTACTAGCTTCATATCCTCTCCCTGCCTTAACTTTTTGGAGAAATGGGGTTAATAATTATACCTTACCGCAAGATGGTAATAAGATGTGAAGAGATAATAAGTAAGAAATACTTAGAACACTGCCTAGCCAGTGAGGAAGACTATGTAATTATTACATATTATCATTGAGTATCCTCTAAGAGGAAGTTCCATCTAGTGTGTGAAAAACACTTTCTCAGACAATGAAAGTGCAGAGGTAAACACTTAACCAGAAGAATGTGACACCCCAGCTCATTTCCTGTTGCTGCTGTAACAAACTGCAACAAACTTGCTGGCTTCAAACAAGAAAAGTTTATTACATTACAGTTCTTGTGGTCAGAAGTCCACAGGAGGTTTCACTGGGCTAACATCAAAGTGGTGTCCTTTCTTCTGGAAGCTCTAGGAGAATATCTGTTTCCTTGTCTTTTCTACTTTCTAGAGGCCGCCTGCATTCCTGGGCTTAAGGTCCCTTTCTCCATCGGCAAAGCCAGCAGCGTGGCATCTTCAAACCTCTCTTCCTGACTCTGAGCATTGTGCCTCCCTCTTAGAAAGACCACTGGGCTCTGCTGGATAATCCAGGATAATTTTTCCATCTTAAAATCATTAACTTAATCATGTCTGCAAGTTTCTTTAAAATAAAAAAATCTGTGTTAGATAACACCGACAGGCTCTGGGGGTTAAGATGTTGAGGAGGCTGGTATTCAGTATACCACATATGCCCATCACATCACAACAAATGCATTTCCTGTTACATGTCAAGGCATTTATAACAGTTTCTCAGTTAAAATTTTTTTTCACCGGGGCACTGACATTAGATATGTTTACTAACATTTAATAGACACTTCAGAAATAGCGTACAAGTGCTATCTTAGGAAAGAGATCAGAAAACTAAAACTGTCCATCTGTCCATGGTTTCATACAGGACACACAGGAAAGGAAAGGAAACTTGTTCACTTCTTGAATCTCTCGGAGTGTCTAGAATATGCCATGTATTTCAAGATTAAAAGGGCAACTTTAAGTGCTTTATTTTATTTTATTTTATTTATTTGTACAAGAACAAAATGTGCATTGGATTGCAGAATAGTACGTTGGTAGATTTTGGAGCCAGAAAACCTCTTAGCATCTTTTTTTTTTTTTTTTCTTTTTTTCACAAAAAGAAAACTTGGGAAATTAGATTGAACGGAGAAGAACAGAGAGCTTTGAAAGCTGAGTTAAATTCCCGGGGGACAGGGGCAATATTTATTGTCCTTTTGTTAACAGCGATTACATTTTTGCCTGCTTCTTTCACCTTATCTACTCTCACTCAGTAGATAGAGCATTGGCCCATGCACCGAAGGGTCGAGGGTTCGACTCCTGATTAAGGGCATGTATCTGGGTTGCAGTTGCCTTCCCCTGCCCCAGTCAGGCACATGCAGGAGGCAGCTAATTGATGTGTCTCTCTCACATCCATGTTTCTCTCTTGCTCTCTTTCCCCTTCCCCCTCTCTTCCACTCTCTCAAAAAAAAAAAAAAAAAAAAATTCAACAGAAAAAATATTCTCCGGTGAGGATTGATTAACAACAATAATAAAAAAGTAGTGTGCTCCAACATTTGCTCAATGGTACTGAA